GAAGAGCGTAGAAGGACTTTGGCTTTGAACAACCCTATAGGAGTGGAACCAAGAAAAGGTGCCATTTCTCCAATGTCGGGTCTGTGGTTGATTCCTCAGCTAACACTGGCGGGACTAGCTGATGCATTCACTGTTGTTGGACAAGTTGAGTTTTTCTATAAACAGTTTCCTGAGAACATGAAAAGCCTTGCAGGGTCTCTTTTCTTCTGTGGCTTAGCAGGATCAAGCTATTTGAGTAGTTTGCTCATTTCTATTATACATAAGCTCACAGCTAAGTCTTCAACTGGGAATTGGTTACCTCAGGATCTCAACAAGGGGAGATTGGATTATTTTTACTATGTCATAACTGTTATAGAAGTTGTTAACTTGGGTTACTTTATATTGTGTGCCAAGTGGTATAAATACAAAGGGGATGGCACTAGCAGCAGTAGCAATAGTATTGAACTAGATCAAGTTTCCAAACAGTCTGAAAAAACTGTTAATGGTGTCTAGTGGATTGGCTCATTGTTCCTAATGTTTGTTTAGCAAGAAAAATAAGGTGGGTTATTTTTTTCTTTTGCTATTTTAAGGATTGGATTTGATAGGTTACCTTTAATTAATAAAAACAGAAACACGTGAATTCAGTGAAATGTACTTTAATTTAGACTTTGTAGCAATATTGAAAGGAAACAAATGTTCTGCCAATGAGATGCATTCAAAATACTTATGTTAGAAGAATTATGTGAGTCATCAATTAACGGTGTATTTGGATTGGAGTTCAACTCCAGTAAATACACGTTCAATCTAAAGCAACTTTTTCCTTGCTTTTATGTTTTTTGTTTTGGAAAGTGAAAATTGTTGTTTGTATTGTCTCAAACATATTCCTAAACATAAACTAACAGTATGTTTGAAAATCTATTTTTTTATAATGAAAACATAAAATCACTATTTTTAAAGTACCAAAATACAAAATAAGTTTTTCTATCTTTTCCATTCAATGTAGGTTTACAAATTTTTAACAACAAAATAAACACACACTAAGTCACTAAAACTAGATTTGGTCTCATTCCTTTGACTTATTTTACAACACTTAAATTCAGTAGGGGCTCATAAAAAGCTTTTTGAGAGTGAGAGCCAGTTTCATTCTTTTCTCTTTTGTTCTTTGATCGAAAATCTTCTTCCCCGTTATTTTCTTCTTCCTTTCTTTAGTTAGCCAGAGTAGTGGAGAAGTTTGAGTTGTTTGTTGCGGCTTGACTTTGAGACCGTATGGAGCATGTTGAGCTTCTTCTCCTCTTCCCCTCTTGGTAGATTTTGGTTCTCCGAAGAGGTAAGGGAAACTTATGTTTTCTGTGAATCTTAAGTAAATTGTCCTGTATGTTCATCTTGTTGTTGTTGAGGAAGATGAGAGGATGATTTTTATTATAGTGATTAGTTTTGAATTTGTTGCATGTTGAAGTTGAGGTTTAGGTTTGAATGCAAAAGGCATGAACTTGATTGTGCAAATTTGGGTGCATGTCATTTTGACGTGGATAAATCAATGAAAATGATGTTGTAGATGAGGTTTAGGAAGAAAAATTGTGAAGTGTAGGTAAGAAATGAAGGAAAATCCATGAATATGTAGAAAAACTCTAAACCCAATGCTAGCTGCAGTTGAGCACTATAATCATGGGAAAAATCTGGGATGATTGAGACCAAGTGTTGTAGCCACAATTAAGTACTGTAGTCGTGGAGAAAATTTGGGATGGCTGAGACACAACATTGTAGCTACAATTGAGTGCTACAGTCGTGGGGAAAACTAGGCTGGTTGAGATCTAGTGTTGAAGCATTGAATTAAGTGTTGTTGTGGTGGTGGTAAATGACCGAATATTGAAAGTGATTAAGTTGAAGGTGTAAAAATGTAGAAGTTGCTATCTGATGAAAGTTGTGAGTGTGTTGTTTAATTACTATGTGTTGTATTATATCTACAATGAAGTTGTCTGGTTGTGCACGTTGTTGAGTGCCTTAAGTTATATGACGATATGTAATAAATGATATTCACTTTTAAATTGTTTATATTGCATGTGGTTATATGACATAATTGATTTTGTATCATAACCTTACCATATGTTTTTCTTTGTGGTTTGAGACTGCTATGATCATATTTGGCATGAGAGTAAGATATGATTAATATACCAAGTAGTGTTGTTCGGTGTGGTGAGTCACGTCGAAAGTGACTCTCTTTTAGATATTGTTGTCTTGAGGTAGCTAGGTTTTATATAAACACTTTATCGACTAAATTTATTGTGTATATAACAGTTACTTCTTTTATAACAAAAGTGTGTGTATATATATATATTCAAGAACAATCATTTTATTTCTTACATATATGACTACTTGAATGAGATTTACCTACTTGTTACATGATATCTTAGGTTGATGTTTAACCTTAATGCTTTTGCTTAATTGTTGTTAGATCGTAATAAGTACACTGACTAGATAGATCGTTACATATTTAACTATTGATATAACTTGATTGAAGTTGGAAGAAATAATTAATAATAAATACATATGCGTAATAAACTTAAATCATGTTATTCTCAAAATGCATCAACCAAATAGGTTCTAATTGTGCTCGATCATTTATAATCATTCGTCTAAAAGTACAAACACGGGTTAAAATTAATTTTTATATTGAAATTATTCATAATTTTTTTATATATCATTTAATTAACATTTCTTCTCTTTTTCTTTATTAAGTATTTGGTTAAGGATAATTGATTTTAAATTTCATTATTGAAAATTTGACTTTGTGTAATCATTTATTAATTTATTAGGCATTCATTTATTTATTTCAATTTTAAATAAAAAATTGATATAAAAAATAAATGTAAAAAATCATATTCATTGTTTTATTTTTAATTTAAAAATAATTAAAATAATATTTTATTTATACAAAAGTCCAACGTCTATTCCGGTAATATATGTTTTATTATTTAATGTATCACTAAAATGTCTTTAATATGTTTTATAACAATTATTTAATATGTTTTATAACTGTGAAATTCATCATAGAATTAATACATCTACCTGATTATAAGTATCATTTTAAAGCTTTTTTACAAAAGAAAAACTAATACTGTATATAGTGATATAAAAATCGTCCGGCCACTGAGTCGGTTCTAATTTTTTGGTGTCTTAATTAAAATAAAAAATTTTTTATAAATATTTTAATATTTCTAATAATTTAATTTTAAATTTAAAAATATAAATATACAAAAAGATAAATATGTAGTTGTCTTAAAAGTTACTATACATATAATATATTTATATGAGATTATAAGTTATTATTATAAACTATTATACAAAAAAAAAAAAATAATAACGACACATTATTAAGAAATTTACATCGAAAAATAAAAATTCATAATTTGATTTTAAATTTTTGTCAAATCTATATAAATTTTTGTCAAATTAATATAGATTATGATTTAAAGATGGAAAGAAATTCAAATAAATTAGAGTAAAAATTCATACTTTAATTTCAAGATTTTATTGAAATACTATAGATTATAATTTAAAAATAGAAAGAAAATCAAATAAATTAAAGATAAAAAAGGAAAACTTTAAAAACAACTTTTTTTCACAATTTTATGTTAATACTTATAACAATTTACATAAAATAAAAAAAAAAGAATATAAGTCAACGACGTATCACATTTTTTTTTCTTTCTATATCTAATATTATTAATTTATTGTTTTTAAAATTATAAATATTTTTACTAATAAAAAATTAATTAATTATTCATAATCGTTTTATTTTTTAATAAAATTTTAATAATTTAATTTTTTTTATATTATATAGAGCAAATAATATTCTCTTTTCTTTTCTTTAAATAAGAACTTGGACGACTTGATAGTATTTAATTTTTGGCTTAAATATGTTTTTAGTCCTTTAAATTTAAGACAAATTTGATTTTAGTCTCTCAAATTTAAAACTGTTGTTTTAGTCTCTGTAATTTTCAAAAATTTTGTTTTAGTCTCTTAGGATACCAATAACATATTTGAAAGTGAGTAAGACAGTTATGCAATATCAACCAGATTTAATGTAATATTTTCATTAATAAGGACAGTAATAGGTAAATTTTATGCAATAATATTTGATAAATTTCTTAACAAAATTTGAATATAAAAACTAAAATAATTTTTTTTAAAATTATAGGAACTAAAAATAATAATTTTAATTTGAGGAACCAAAAATAAAATTACCCTAAATTTGAAGGACTAAAAACATATTTAAGCCTTAATTTTTTCATCATTTTACTGTTACATTCTCAATTTTTTTTTTCTTCTTTTGTTAACCGCATAACAACCCGCTTCTGTCTATATGATGCAATGGTATGGTTGTTGCAATACCACTGTTAGGTATCCAAACCAAAACCGTATAACAACCCGCCTATATGGTTTAAGTAACTGTATATAGTGATATAAAAATCGTCCGGCCACTGAGTCGGTTCTAATTTTTTGGTGTCTTAATTAAAATAAAAAATTTTTTATAAATATTTTAATATTTCTAATAATTTAATTTTAAATTTAAAAATATAAATATACAAAAAGATAAATATGTAGTTGTCTTAAAAGTTACTATACATATAATATATTTATATGAGATTATAAGTTATTATTATAAACTATTATACAAAAAAAAAAAAATAATAACGACACATTATTAAGAAATTTACATCGAAAAATAAAAATTCATAATTTGATTTTAAATTTTTGTCAAATCTATATAAATTTTTGTCAAATTAATATAGATTATGATTTAAAGATGGAAAGAAATTCAAATAAATTAGAGTAAAAATTCATACTTTAATTTCAAGATTTTATTGAAATACTATAGATTATAATTTAAAAATAGAAAGAAAATCAAATAAATTAAAGATAAAAAAGGAAAACTTTAAAAACAACTTTTTTTCACAATTTTATGTTAATACTTATAACAATTTACATAAAATAAAAAAAAAAGAATATAAGTCAACGACGTATCACATTTTTTTTTCTTTCTATATCTAATATTATTAATTTATTGTTTTTAAAATTATAAATATTTTTACTAATAAAAAATTAATTAATTATTCATAATCGTTTTATTTTTTAATAAAATTTTAATAATTTAATTTTTTTTATATTATATAGAGCAAATAATATTCTCTTTTCTTTTCTTTAAATAAGAACTTGGACGACTTGATAGTATTTAATTTTTGGCTTAAATATGTTTTTAGTCCTTTAAATTTAAGACAAATTTGATTTTAGTCTCTCAAATTTAAAACTGTTGTTTTAGTCTCTGTAATTTTCAAAAATTTTGTTTTAGTCTCTTAGGATACCAATAACATATTTGAAAGTGAGTAAGACAGTTATGCAATATCAACCAGATTTAATGTAATATTTTCATTAATAAGGACAGTAATAGGTAAATTTTATGCAATAATATTTGATAAATTTCTTAACAAAATTTGAATATAAAAACTAAAATAATTTTTTTTAAAATTATAGGAACTAAAAATAATAATTTTAATTTGAGGAACCAAAAATAAAATTACCCTAAATTTGAAGGACTAAAAACATATTTAAGCCTTAATTTTTTCATCATTTTACTGTTACATTCTCAATTTTTTTTTTCT